TCACAAAGGGCAAGCTGAACGTGGAGAAGGCAAACCGCGCTCTTGAGGAGCAGATCGCCGAGTCCAACGTCAAGATCGAGGAGTCCGGCAGGCAGATCCAGGAACTGACATCCCTCAAGTCCCGTCTGGAGACCGAGAACTCCGAGATTGCCCGCCAGCTCGAGGAGTCCGAGAGCCAGTGCAGCCAGCTGGCCCGTGCCAAGAGCATGCTGAACCAGCAGCTCGAGGAGCTGAAGCGCCAGCTTGAGGAGGAGACCAAGGCCAAGAACCACCTGTCTCACCAGCTGCGTGCTGCCCAGCACGACTGCGATACTCTGAAGGTTCAGCTGGAAGAGGAGCAGGAAGGCAAGGCTGAGATCCAGCGTGCCCTGTCCAAGGCCAACACAGAGGTCACTGCCTGGCGTGCCAAGTACGAGTCCGACGCCATCCAGCGCGCTGAGGAGCTGGAGGATGCCAAGAAGAAGCTGGCTGCTCGCCTGCAGGATGCTGAGGAACAGGTGGAGGCCGCCAACGCCAAGTGCAGCTCTCTGGAGAAGGCCAAGAACAGGCTGGCTGGTGAGGTTGAGGACCTCATGATCGACGTTGAGCGGGCCAATGGCGCAGCAGCTCAGCTGGAGAAGAAGCAGCGTTTGGTTGACAAGCAGATCGCCGAGTGGAAGACCAAGTGCGAGGAGATTGGTGCTGAGCTGGAGACCTCTACCAAGGAGGCCCGTGCTTATGCCAACGAGCTGTACAAGCTGAAGGGACAATACGAGGAGACCCTCGAGGCCCTGGAAAGCCTCAAGAAGGAGAACAAGGCCCTTCATGGTAAATTCAGTTTTAATTGTTCCACTTTATAATGCTTGTATCATTATCACGTAAGACATTACCGTTACGAACTTAGTAGATTGATTTGTGGTCCTTCCTTTTCCAGCATACTCTTTCCTGGAAAAAAATCTTAAATACTGTTCACTTTATTTTAGATGAGATCCACGAGCTGACCGACCAGCTTGGAGAGGGCGGCAAGTCAGTCCATGAACTCGAGAAGGCCAAGAAGCGCCTGGAGGTAGAGAAGGAGGAACTGCAGACCGCTCTCGAGGAGGCAGAGGGTGCACTGGAAGTTGAGGAGGGCAAGGTCCTGCGTGTCCAGCTCGAGTTGTCTCAGCTCAAGGCTGACATCGACCGCAGACTGGCCGAGAAGGACGAGGAGTTCGAGAACACACGGTAAGAATTCTACCGTTCTTTTTTACAAGATTTGCTTCGAAATTTCAGAAGCAAAGAGTCTTCCCTGACACTATCATCAATTGATAATTTCGAATTGCCGGTTAAACTTAGAAAGGGAGCTGATATTATATCGTTATCCTTGATGTTACAGCAAGAACCACCAGAGGGCGTTGGATGCCCTGCAGACCACCCTGGACGTTGAGGCCAAGGGCAGGAACGAGGCTGTCAGGGCCAAGAAGAAGCTGGAGGCTGATGTCAATGAGGTCGAGGCTGCCCTGGAGAACGCCACCAAGGCCAACAACGAGGCCAGGAAGACCATCAACAAGCTCCAGAACCAGATTCAGGAAGTCCAGGCCACAATCGACGACGAACAGAGGGCACGTGAGGAGGCTCGCGAGCATCTCGCCATGTCCGAGCGCCGCTCCAACATGTTGACGGCTGAGCTCGAAGAGCTCCGCAATGGCTTGGACCAGGCCGAGAGGGCACGCAAGATGACCGAGGCCGAGCTTGTGGAGTCTTCTGACCGCGTCGGAGAGCTGTCTGCACAGAACGCATCTCTGGCTGGCCACAAGAGGAAGCTGGAGGGCGAGATCGGAACCCTGCAGGCTGAGCTGGACGAGGTTATGGCTGAGCACAGGCAGACCGAGGAGAAGGCAAAGAAGGCTATTGGCGATGTAAGTATTGACCTTGTCCACACACTACCTTGTCAGAAATAAGTTATTTTTGTTCTTCGTTTTTCTGTTGACGTACACGGATATAGATGATGTCATTTTTTTTCCTTTAGGCCGCCCGCATTGCCGAGGACCTGCGCCAGGAACAGGAACACACCGCTCACATCGAGAAGACCAAGAAGAACCTGGAAGCCTCCATCAAGGACCTGCAGAGGAGACTGGACGAGGCCGAGGCCGTCGCCATGAAGGGTGGCAAGCGCCAGCTGCAGAAGCTGGAGGCTAGGGTACGGATCTTTCTTTCTCACGTGGAATCAATCCATTTCATGTTTGATATTGCATCTTGTTTGGATTTTGAATTGCGTATGTTTTCATTGAGTTTTCTTTTCCGTATCATAGGTGCGTGACTTGGAGTCCGAACTCGACACCGAGCAGAGGCGCCACCAGGACACACTGAAGAACCTGAGGAAGAACGAGCGCCGTCTCAAGGAGCTGAGCTTCCAGGCCGACGAGGACCGCAAGAAGGAGGAGCGCATGCAGGAGATGGTCGAGAAGCTGCAACTGAAGATCAAGTCTTACAAGAGACAAGTGGAGGAGGCCGTACGTAGTCTAATGTGCACTTTTAGATCCTGTTTGTGGCCAGATGCAATTTCACAAATAATGCAATTGTGTATGTATGAATCTTAACTGTTCCATGTTCACTTCATGCCACCTTTGGAGGTGATAATCGACGTAAAGATTATGTATTAACTGTTTCCGATTTGGCACATAACACAGGAGGAGCAGGCCAACGTTAACCTGGCCAAGTGGCGCAAGACCCAGCACGATCTGGAGGATGCCCAGGAGAGGGCCGAGATGGCCGAGTCCGCTCTGGGCAAGATGCGCGCCCAGCACCGCTCTGCTCCATCCAAGGTGAGTTTATAGTCTTCCGTTGTCCTCAGTATATTATTTGGCATTCATAAGGAACTAATGGAACATTACAATAGGCTTCACTAGGTAAGCAAGTCAGAGTTTCCTGTTGGACATGTCTCATGGTCAATAGTTCGTCGACATTATGTTTTGATGATTATGATCGCACATATTAAATGGTCTGGTTGTTTATGTATTCAGTTATGTCACTTTGGTCTGTTTTTTGTAAGATCTTTTTAGTTCGAACATTTAGCAAAGTGTTTATACACGCTACCTATGTCTAACATTGACTATCTATCTGTTGCAGTAAGATATTACCTCACCAACACTAACAACCCATAAGTCTCACCCATCATCCCTTCGCTCTTACACTATTAGCATCTCACCGCGTCTGTCCTGCTCCAATCTCTTTGCTTTAGCTTTAGAAAAAGCACACTATCAGCGCTCTGATACTTTTGTCCCATCCCTTTCTCCAACCCCACCCTCTTCGTTATACTCTTCTTGTTCTTCTTACGGTTTAAAAAAAAGGCATGTCTATGTACAACTTCCCTCTACATGTAACGAACGCTATGGCAGTTCTGTCCCCTCCCCTTCTCCAACCCCCAAATACTCTTCTCCTTCTTACGGTTTGTCAAGGAGCATCTTTATATATACCCGCTCTCTACATACTACGTGTACCCTTGCTCCACGTGCCCATGCACACGTGTTAACATCAGACAACCCTCCCCATGGTCGCTGATGTTCTGTTTGTTACTTCTATTGCAGAACTAAAACCCCTTTCTACGCGACGCGCCATGCGGGTTGCACAGAGTAAGTTGCCGTTACGCATCCACTATGTCCGTGGATAGCTGTAGATAGCAGTGAAGTAGCAATGTGCATTTGTAATCCGCGTTTTTTTTCTATTTTCAGACCCACGTAACTAGGCAACTTGCATATCACATACTTGCATACAAGTCGCGCGATATTAATAATCGTTCATAACCTCACAATGATCAAACATGTACATACATGTGTATAACTAATGGTAGATACAAGAGCATATCTTGTTGAAGATATAGTAAAAATTAAATAGCAAAGATTCTTTTACTCACAGCCACTTGTTTAACAAGGGTCTTGTTAAACAAGTGATTGTGAATAAAGAACATTCATATTCAATCATTTACCATCCTGATGATATTATTCACGGATACAAAACCTATTTGACTACATATTATTTCATTTTTTGCTGTCAAAAAGGCTTTGACAGTGAGTCCATATAGTATAGTACATGCAAGTCAACATTATCGTAATACACATCTACGTTAAAATATGTTGCTTTTTTTTACTGTTAACAAGTCAATCATCTGTCGTTCTAAAATCACCGTCTTATACAGTCATCACAAACAGGAGTGCTAATCCTAAAGACTGACTTATGGTCGGAAAACTGTCTAACAAGTTTTCTTTCTTTCTTTTTGCAGGGAGGGAAGCAGTAAACTGCTGACGGATATCTTCAACTACAGTGTATAGAACAAATATATTGAAATCGACTTCAGAAACCCAGTATGCCTCCATGTAATTCTCTGTCTTTCTCTTGAGCGATACTTCCTACTTAGGGGCCCCAACGCACGTACACGTCTAATGACACAGCAACTAGGTGGGAACGACGCTTACTGAGGTTTTCAAGGAAAAACATGGAGAGCGACAGTAGACAATAGTAAAATTACCGTCAACAATTCTGAAGAAAACACAACTACGATGTACTAAGTCGTTAGCGTACAAATTATGAACACAAACCTTGCACGATCGTAACATGACTGTCTTTGTCTGTCTTTGTTATACATGTTAAGTAGGAATCCAAACCTAAACCACGTGAATGTCCCGAAATGTGTAAAAAGAAACAAAGCTGTCGGAAGTAATTCAGTTGAGAGAACTTTGGGACTGGGAACGGCGAAATACGGTACCGAAGTGTCCCTAGCTTTAACGCTGAGGGGAAAATGAGTATATAATTGTATGTGTATCTCTTCCGGGACCACTAAGTAGTCTTAGAGATGCGTTTGGTAAATGTATGGTTTGTGACGTGTATGGTTGCTTCGTTGCACTTGATACTGATTAAACTTCTTTGAACAAATCTCTTTGATTTTGACTCATTTCCTAGTCTTACTTCTAAGGTTTATAATTGTGGATGAGGATATATGATGTGAAGTATAGTTCTGACACTTTCTCTGCCTGGATCTGATCATACTACACGAAAGTTTGCTAAAAACGATAGGGTTTTCGTATATTTATATGTTATGTAAACTAGCATAGAGCCATCCATTGTATTATGCATTGCCGGAATTTCAATTTTCAAGTTTTAAAAACGTAAAAGTAGACATAAAGGGCAAAACAAAACTTAGGGCAGAAGAAAAGCTCAGCCATACTGTAAACCTCTGTATTTATTTATGGGTATGTTATCTGACATCAACAGAAATATAAAGCAAAATGAATCAAATAAATCAGTTATTAATTACATATTTAACACTGTTTTCTATTAAAGTAACGCTAGAAATAATATGATACGGCAACACGTTTGACCACGCACTTCTTTTCGATCACAATTGCGAAAGAACAACACTCACAATTATCTCAATAAAGATTTATTTGTCCTTTCAGCCAATGTTATCTTCGATTGCCGATATTTTTCCATGTTTTTCGGATATTTTTGTTCACATTCGTCGATTCTGTGTCCTTATACCGTCGATTGTGAAGAAAGATGACATCATGTTCTCTAGTCCTCCTGCTTGGACTGTTAAAATACACAAGACAGAAGAAAGAACAGAAGAAATAGTGAGAGCAAGTAGAGACACAGTGAAAGAAAGACAGAGAGAAGAAAGAAGGAAAGTGAAATGAAATTGAGCAAAAAGAACTGTCTTGATCATTTTCTTCTGAATTGGCAGCTTGCTGAGTTTATCTTCAGAACTAGCCCTTTGAAATATCCACTGGTCAGGTACATGTACATGATGTAGGTAAGTAGCACTAGCTGTTTGCCTAATTGTAAGTACAGAGCCAATAAAATTTTTAAATGTTTCTACTATGTTGTAATTATGTCATTTTAATTGTTTGAGCCTTGGAAGATTAGCCCTTCGGGGCTAAAAGGTTTCGAAATAAATGAAATAAGATGTAACAAATGAACAGGGCTTTCCCCAAGCAATAAAGCAAGGGTACGTACTCCCGGGCCCCTCTCCCCCAAAATCCAGGCACTTCTCTCAAAATATTCAAATTGAGAGTTTTCCTGTAGTATTTTCTTGAAAATTCAATGATATTTCATCAACTTTGGGAGCACTTCTCCCCTAAAAAATTTCTGAGAACCCCTAGCTTAACTAAAAACTGTTCTTCTTACCTTCTTGGTCCCTGCGGTGGGGTTGCCGCTGTGGTACTTGGCGCGCAGCTTGGCCAGGGCGCTCTCAGCGATGTCGGCGCGCTCCTCGGCATCCTCCAGCTGGTGCTGAACCTTACGGAACTTCGCCAGGTTCACATTCGCGTTCTCCTCCTGAGGGTTGGAAGTATATATCATGGCGTTGAGCAATCATACAGGGTAAAGAACAGGCAAGTCCAAAGGAAATACCTGTTGTTAGCAACTGCACAAAGTAAAGAATGGGCTAGATGCCACAAGATCAAAACAAATCACTTCATACAAAGTAGTAAAGAACTAAGTGAATAAGTTGCTCATGAGTTGCAACACCGAAGCAAATCATGGTTATAATGAATGGTGCAGAGTAAAGAGCAAGCAAATCACTAAGTGATGGTAAAAGTCATCTCATCATGAATATCAGTACAAAGTAAGGTATACGACTGTAGCAAGTCAATCAATCATGAGCAAGGGTTAACAATCCTGTGTAATGAACAGTCTAGCATCCAGAACAAGCTTAAGCAAGACCCATGTAGATCAATTGATCATGAATCTCTAGTTATAGAGTTCAAACTTGTTCCAACACAAGGAAGAAACGAAAATTTATGGTGCATTTCTTTCTTGTGTTGGAACAACTTCAAACTCTATAAGTTCTACCAACACAGATGAGCTTTCATTCGATGATGAATCTCATATGCGTCAAGAACCAAACAGAAATTCCTGGAGGCTTTCTAAGGGTCAGAACATTGTCTTACCGATTCCTCGGACTGCCTCTTGTAGGTCTTGATCTTGAGCTGCAGTTTCTCCACCAGCTCCTGGAGGCGCTCCTGGTTCTTGCGGTCCTCGTCCGACTGGAAGGTCATCTCCTTGAGACGGCGCTCGTTCTTACGCAGGTTCTTTAAGGTGTCCTGGTGGCGCCTCTGCTCAGCGTCCAGCTCTGCCTCCAGGTCGTGGAGCTGTGTTACGGAACAGCACAGTTTAGAGTCGCCCTCTAGCAGTTCAATCAGGTACTACAACCAGCATATTTCCAGTGCAACACCAAATAGTGGGTAAATGTTTGTTTTGCATGATATCTGAACTCACTGATTCCTTGGACTGCCTGAAGGTCGTGGAGCTGTGGGCAACCAGTACAGTTTTGAGGGCTTGGAAACTCAATCCTTCAAAGTCAATATTCTAGTCACTTATCTATATACTGAGTTGAAACCACTTAATCCCAATGTACTAGTATATTGACCCTCATGGAGCAAAAATCTCCAAAATTCTGGTGACAAATGGTTACTAGAAGGGCCCTGGGCCGATTTTTAGGGTACATTGTGTACCACCCATAAAATAAAGGACTCATCTTGGGGCTTGTTTTTGCAACTTTTTAATGCCCAAAGTATGAAATACTGATTGAAATGTGCTAATGTGAAGCAGTATGTGCCAATATCATAAAGATTGCCTCATAAAGAATATTTCTAGTTTTGCTGCTCTGAAATCGCATTGGATGCTATTAAAGAACAACACAGTTTAGAATCGCCCTCTAGCAGTTTAATCAGGTACTGCAACCAGCATATTTCCCTTGCAACACCAACTAGTGGCTAAATGCTTGGAATACCAACCGGCACCATGGCGGTATGTGTGCGTCAGAGGTTAAGTGAGGTAAGTTTCATATCAGTAAGTTTCATATGGGGTAACCAAACATATCAAAGATATGTTTGGTTACCCCACCATTGCTGCTCTATTTCTAAGCTGAGACCCAAAGCTCATCGTGTCCTGTCTTTCTTAGATATCAATATCTTGTTTGTCATGAAAGCTGCTGTTACAGTAGTAACTGCGTATCGTTTTATGATGCTGATGACCCAGAGTAATAGAGTAGGTCACTTCCGGGTTACATAGGCTGACGACATATGATCAGAGACATGCATTGCTCAACCCATTATAAGCGCTACCTTGCAGAACACAACAGCTTTGCAGTCATAAACACAGGAATGTGTGGAAGCTTGTATCTTATAAAATGGCCTGTTACACCTAAGCCCTGAGGGTCTAGCAGTTAGAACCCTTCTAACAATTTCCAAGTATCTAAAAAAGAGGGCCATACTGTGTGTGAAGACGGTTCCGTCATCATTAAACCTCTTTCCAAATTAGTAGAGGTACAGCATCTCAATGACAGTAATTGATAGATCACCAACTTACTAATATCTTGTTTACACTCATCTTTCTTTTATACATTTTGTAACCATGTATGTATGTGATGTTACTCTTGCTTCATATTTATGTTATCGAGTAGAAGGCTTTATATATTACGCATTGGTGCTTGTTGCCTGATACTCATTGAATATGTGAATAAATAAAAAATAAATCACTTACCCTAGTCTCGAGCTTCTGCAGGTGACGTTTCCCGCCCTTCAGTGCGATGGTCTCGGCCTCGTCCAGGCGGCGCTGGAAGTCTCGGATGTTCTCCTCCAGGTTCTTCTTGACCTTCTCCAGGTGGGTGACCTTGTCCGACTCCTGCCTCAGCTCGTCCGCCATGCGGCTGGCCTGTGAACAGCAGGGGACAGTTAGCCTCCGTGTTACTAATGTCAGCCAGTCTCAAAAGGCTATGGATGCTCGGTTCCAACTTTTACCATATATTATTATAAAGTATACCTAAAATCGTCTACATTTTCAAACATACTCTTACGATCACAGACCCCACACACCAGGTAAACTGTGGTGCATTTCGTTGCTCACAAAACCTTAACCATGAAACCTAGATCTACATGTGGTCAAATTATAATTATACCTAAGCAACATTTCATACAAACATTTCAATTTGTGTAATATGGTGGCATTTTCTAACATCAGGGTCACACTATATGTACATGACATGAACTCCTGTTATAGATTTGCCAAAAGAAGGTCTGCTGAATTTTCAAGTTGTCAGCTGCCATAAGAGATGGAGATTTATAAGCCCCATGTCGACCCCCTAATGGTTTTCTACACCCCAAGCATGCAGGAGGCAACTGGCAGTTTCATTTCCCACGCAGTTTGAGTTACAGCTGGTCCATATAAAAGCTGCCCAAGGCCAGCGCCTTCAAATGGCTGATCCTATTGCAAAAGAATAGAAGCAAAGTTGCTGCAAACAACCTCAGGTCCTGTGTTAATGTGCGCACCTGTGTGTGTATGTGCGAAGTGTGTGTGTGTTCTCCTCTGTCTGCCTAGCATCATGTGTTTGTGTTTGTGTGTGTGTGTGCTGTGTGTGGCGCGTACGTGTCTGTGTGCACGTGTTACTTACATCTGCCATGGCCTTCTTGGCCCTCTCCTCGGTCTGCCTGGCATCGTGTTTGTGTGTGTATGTGTGTGTGTGCATACGTGTGTACGTGCATGTGCGTGTGAGTTTGACTCACGTCTGCCATGGCTTTCTTGGCCTTGTCCTTGGTCTGCCTGACGTCATGTATATTTCAGAGGTAAGCAATAATGTGTGCAGCTGGTAAGAACTGATGATTGTATATACCAGCTTTTGTTTGTTTTTTGTGTGTTTGAGTTATTACTTATACATGTACTTACATCTGCCATGGCCTTCTTGGCCTTCTCCTCTGTCTGCCTGGCATCGTTCTGTGTCTCCTCCAGCTCGTTGCCCATCTGCTGCAGCTCTCCCTCCAGCTTCCGCTTGTGGGCCGACAGAGCCGCGTTCTGGGTACTCAGCTCATTCAGCCTGGGCAGGCATTATTAGCAATACACTTTAGTTATCAACTCTTTGAACCCTTTCATACTTAAGGCTTAGGTGCTTTGTATAACAAGATCGTATACATATAAATCTACTTTCTATAACATGTAAGGTTCTGCCAGACTCTTGTTTGTAGTTTTTAATAGTTGTTCATTTCACATGATGATTCAAAGTCATCAATTGATTGATGAAGTCAAACAAATTCAATTATGTTGCTCAATGGTCCCCATCCAGTGGAATATCCTTTATCACAATATCGACATCTATATTGTGTATTCTGTGTATCTATAGTGGCCACCTGTTTTGTGTCAAATTCATTGAGTGGTCACAATAAACAGGTTGTGACTAATAAGACCACAGCCTTAGTCTGAAAGTGAGAGGACAAAAAGTCTGGGCAGCTAATATAGGTTTGGACACCAGGCTACTGTACATCGCCAAAACACTGAATGGACCAAGTTCATAAAAATGTATTTCAAACAGGTTTTGCTTATCACCTCTCGGTGGCCTCCATGACTTCAGCCTCGCAGATCTTGCGGTTCCTCTCGGCGATCTCCATCTGTGCGCGAAGCTCATTCAGCTCGGAGGTGTACATGTTCACGCGGCGCTCGGCCGTGCTGCAGCGCTCGCGAAGCTCCTCCTTAGCACGCTGCTCATCGTCTAGAGCGACCTGGGGAACAGCAAGCAGAATTCTTATTACTAAGTAGTATGTTGCTGCATATTCAAGTGCAGAAGTACTAAATGCTGTATGCTTCAAAAAGAAAGAAAAGCAAGCTGGACCTTGGAGAACAGCAGTGACAGAAGGGATAAAATCAGGATGCTTCATAAATAAGAGAGAAGGAAATGCAACTGCTGGTCATCAAGCTGGACCTGGGGAGCAGCAGTCAGAATTCTAATTAATACTAATTCAAGCTCACACACTCACTGTGTCAAGCTAGCTTGGAATCTGTATGCTTAAAAAATAAAAGCGATCCTTTTTTTATGTTCATGACCAGATAGAAGGGCTTAATAGAGTATGTTGAACTAAACATGAAAAAATTAAAGCCAGACTTCAACACAGTGTTTAAAAATTTTAGTTTCTTAAAAGATCTCGTCAATAGATATTAGGGAAGTATTGGGAATGGTGCCCCAACGACCAGCCCTGTCAAGAGGAGAGTTAACTTGCAGTGGCAAACAGGCATCATTTTCAATGCAAATCCATCCAGACTGTCAGGTCAAATTCAACCCCACAGCAAACCCTGTAACAGTATCAATGGCACTAAAATTCCTCCTGGCTACAAGGATTACTGGCTAACAGTATGAATGGCACTACAGATGCCCCCTTGCTGCATACAAGGATTACTGGCTAACAGTATCAATAGCATAGCGTACTGTACCTGCATCTCCTGCAGCTGGTTGGTGTACTTGGCCAGCAGCTTCCTGGCCTCGGAGTTGGCCTTGTTCGCTGTGTCCAGCTGAACTTCGACCTCATTCAGGTCGGCCTCGATCTTCTTCTTCTGCCGGATGGCCTCGGCGCGACCCTTGCTCTCCACCTCCAGGGACGTCGTCAGGCTCTCGATGGATCTCGCATGGTTCTTGCTGTTCGGGGAGGGAACAAAGATGTTAATATTCAGGTGTCAAGGTGGTATTGTGGTTAAGGTTTGTTGACTTGTTGACATCTGATTCTCTGTACCTTTTGATTTGTTTTGATTTTGTATTTTGTCGGTGCCTTATAAGCCCATATGGGCTGGGCGGCATATTGATCGCAATGGCACGAAAATAAACAGTCATTCATTCATTCATTCATTCATTCATTCATTCATTCATTCATTCATTCATTCATTCATTCATTCATTCATTCATTCATTCATATAATCTGAAGGTCCTGGATTCGAATCCATTGCAGGTCACAGTAGAGTGGCCTAGGCTCAATGAAACGTAAGCTTACAGTCTGGTCTCTCAATTGACATCTTGAAAATATGATCATAATCTTTCCACAAAAGTGGGGAATCTCAAGATCATATTTTTCTCGAGCAAAGACCCGTACCATGAAACATATACAGACGTTAGCTTGATTTTTAAGCGTAGAAGTGATGAAGAACAATACGGTAATGCACATGTGTTACATGTATGTACAATGTAACTCATATTAACGCTACTACTACAACGCTACTACAGTAACTACAAACTGACAGTACCAATAAGATGTAATCATGTGATGACTGAAATTACAAACAGATGTGCAAGGATATTATAACAGCAAAGAGAGCCCAGCCTACCGTGTTGTTTCAAACTCCTCCTCCTTCTCGGCCAGCCTCCTGTCGATGTCAGACTTCACCTGGCTCAGCTCCAGGTTCAGCCGCAGGACCTTGGTGGTAGGTAGATAGTCATTTTAATTTTGTTGTATAACAAAGAACAAGACAAGAACATTCTTCTTTCAGTTATAAATAATCAGTTATTATGTTCAACTTGTTATTTCTACTTTACATGTGGTGCAACAGCAGAGTGCGTTACTCAGAATCAAGAGGTCCTGGGTTCGAGTCCTGACATGCCAGTGGTCTTGCACCCTTGGGAAAGGCAAAGGCACTTTACACAACTTTCCCCACTAGACTCAAGTGAAAATGAGTACTGTCTGTCCATTATTCGTTTCTACATTGTATGTGCGGGACACAACACCAGCAACAGCTGCCTCTGTTCCCTGTGTATTGCACTATTGCAATTTCAATAAATCAAATCAAACCAACCTTGCCCTCCTCCACCTCCAGGGCACCCTCAGCCTCCTCCAGAGCCGTGTGCATCTCCTCCTTCTCCACCTCCAGACGCTTCTTCGTCTTCTCCATCTCGTGAAGGTGCTTGGCCGACTCTGCCAGGTGGTCGCTGATCTCGTGGACTTCGTCTGAACAAAAAAACACAACAATCGGTTAGTAAAAGGAAGGATTTACATTGATTTGCATTAGACTTAAGTTCTGTCAAGCATATAGAAGCTTTCAGACGGCATTTACCATCTTTCTTCAGCACCTACATGTAACAATCAGTTAAACTCTGAGCTCTTGCCATTGTTTCCTACTCAAAACAAATCATGCATCGACTGCCATACAATGATGGAATTATAATGCAACAGAAACAGCATAGTCTGTAGCAAATTGCCATCTAATGTGGTAGATGCAAGCTGGCTTGCTCTTGGTGTACTGAAAACATCATAAATCCCTCAACATAAGAAGACTATACTTTAATAATTTGTTATACTAGATTTTATTGTTTCAAGTATGTATCCTATAGATTCTTGATTTCCATTATGAACTTTCACCGTTATTGCACCTTTGCAATAATTGTTTATCATGCTATATTTTAGGTAGGGCATGCTAGTACATAAATATGCTTCAATCAGTGGCGAGGTACATGTAGTCTAAAGAAAAATGAAATAAGAACCATTAAGGGTCTTGTTCTCCTTCTTCAGCTCCTCTAGAGCGCCGAAGGACTCCTCGTAGGCCGTCTTGAGCTTCATGAGCTCGTTGTTGAGGGTCCTGTTCTCCTTGGTGAGCTCCTCCATCTCCACGCCCATCTCCTCGCACTTGACCCTCCAGTCCGACACGATCTTGTCGAACATGCGCTGCTTCTTCTCCAGCTGCGCCGCGATGCTGTTCGCCTTCTCCACGTCAATCATCAGGTCCTCGTTCTCAGCTGCCAGTCTTTCCAGAGGGAAAGAGAATTGTGAAATGTGAGGGGTGAAGGAAGCTATTTACATTAGGGCCCACCACCCTTCACCTAACAGCGACGGAGGCCGACATCGTCTACCAGATACCTTTGACCCAGTGTTGATGTCACACTTGCCTGACTGGGTCAGTCTACTGAGGAAGACTACTCACGGTGAGAGAACTTCTTGCGTTGGATCAAAAGCTTTAACTTTGATGTGGTATAAAAGATGTGTTACATATTTGTAGCACCTTTACTAGCTAGTCATTCCAAGGAGAGAGAAAAGAGAATCATAAAACATAGTACATGTATAAGATATTCCTCTTACTACATTTGAAGTATACCATGCTCATGTCTTTCGATTAGTCATCAGGTGTTGTCATCATTTACATGTACATGTATAGCAAGAACCTTTTGATCAGTGCACGAAGTCCTTCAGGCAGCTAGATCCAAGTCTGCCATCATCGCAAGTCATCATGAATAATCATCAAGAAGAATTCATGACCACGCATTTTGTACCTGTTCTTGGTCTTCTCCAAGCTGCTGCACCTGGAGTTGGAGATCTCCACCTTCTCCTCGGCCTCCTGAAGACGCTGTGCCAGCTTCTTCTTAGCCTCCTCCAGCTCCTCCGTCCTCTGGATGGCATCCGTCTCGTACTTGGTCCTCCAGGCCGCGACTTCGGTGTGCGCTTTGGAGAGGGCGCGCTGCATCTCGGACTTGGCCTCCTGCTCCTCCTCCAGCTGTTCGCGGTAGGTGTCGCAGTCGTGCTGGGAGGCACGCAGCTACAGAGGGAGGCACCAAGGCCGGAATCAGCTTCCAGGACATGATTGCGGTTCTTTGATACTTAAGAAGGTAGTCGATGAGGACGTGGGGATTCAGGATAGTGGGATTCGTTCTGACATGCTCGATTGTCCAAATTGGTGTCACCTCACTGAGGTACAAGTGAAAGCCCGATATGTCATGACATTGCTAGCCTCACTAAGTCGCGCTCCCAGCGCTGCCCCACTCACCGATCCACTAGAAGAGTGGACAAATTAGCCCCGAGAGCGACAGATTGTATTACACAGGCTAATGGCATCAAATAGACAAAGGCAATTTAATTTCATTATTCTATCCTTCATTGAGACAGTTTGTGTACCTGGTGGGACAGGTGGTTCTTGGCCTTGGTCTCCTCCTCGAGCTGGCGCTTCAGCTCTTCAATTTGCTGCATCAGCATGCTCTTGGTCCTGTGGGGAACACACAAGGTTAGTGGTGCTGTTCACTCAATATGTTGTAATGTGTTACTGGTGTTTTATGCTGAAGCTGGTGTGTTACGCCAAAGGGCGGTTATATTGCGTACTGCATGGCTATACTGATACAGATACAGATACAGATGTTCAAAAGGTATCAAAATCTGACCTTTTGTATGTGCCAAGGGTTCGTCGGGAAGTATACAGAAGATCGATTTCCTACTCAGGATCAGTACTGTGGAATAACTTATCAACTGAGCTAAGAACGGCTACGTCAGTTGCAGCTTTTAAAAACCGGCTGCGTCAAGCAACTTAGAACGACTAAATATGTGGACTTGGATGTTTGATACTGAGATACCGAGAGAGTGTTTGAATTTTGTACACTTTGTATATATTTATATTGTAATTGATTCTATTGATTCTATTGATTGTAACTGAACCGAAGAATTTGCAAAGACCCCTGACCTACCTCCCCTTGACCTCTTGAAAAACGGCTTAGGCCGAAGAGTTGTACTGATACACACATGTACTGTACATTTCAAGGTTAAATAAAGGTTGAAAAAAAAACAGACAAACAAACAAACCTGCTGAGCTGGTTGTTCTGGCTCTCGGCCTCCTCCAGGTTTCTCAAGACGTCGTTGTGTTCTGCCAGCATACGGCTCTTCATGGCAGAGAACATGCCTCAAAAAACACACAAACAAACAAACAGACCTACCAATCTAGGTGTTCTGGCTCAAACAAACACACAAACAAACAAACCTGCTAAGCTGGTTGTTCTGGCTCTCGGCCTCCTCAAGATTTCTCACAACATCGTTGTGTTCTGCCAGCATGCGGCTCTTCATTTCAGAGAACATGCCTCAAAAAACACACAAACAAACAAACAGACCTACCAATCTAGGTGTTCTGGCTCAAACAAACACACAAACAAACAAACCTGCTAAGCTGGTTATTCTGGCTCTCAGCCTCCTCCAGGTTTCTCACAACGTCATTGTGCTCGGCCAGCATGCGGCTCTTCATGGCAGAGAACTCCTGCAGTTGGCGGTTCTGTTCGTCCACCTTGATGTTTGCCTCGTTCAGGTTTTCTTCCAGGTTACGGTTCAGCTTCTCGAAGTTCACCTTTAGATAATACAGTTTGAATATTAGCTCGATGAAGGGAAAAATTCTGGCAAAAGATATAGATATTCACTGTCTAATTAGTAACTACAGTACAGTTGGATTAGGACGTTATAATCTTACATGGTCATTGATTGAAATGCATCTATTTTTCGAATGTGTCAAGTTTGATCCAGTTGCAGTAACTAATCTGACTATTGATTGTACAGGTTCAGAGAGATTTGGACACAAACCAAATGCCAATATCATAGGCTCTACACATATAAACATACAACTTGGACATATACATGTAACAACATTGCGATAGGAAGAGTAACTTTCAAAATTTTGTTTGGTCATTATCAATAACTATAATACCAACACCAAGAAAGCCTAACAAATTCGTTCATGCTTTATTCGTTATAATTGAAAATTCTCTGTCTATGCATTTTCCTACAAACGAATCCTCAGAGATACACACGTACAGAAGTAAAAAAAATCACTCACCTTCTGCTTGGTGAGTTGTTCCAGGTTGCCTGACAGGTCGTCGACCTCCAGGCGCAGGGTGTTCTTGTCCTTCTCGAGTTTGGCCTTGGCGCGCTGAAGGTTCTCGATCTGCTGGCTCATCTCCGTGAAGCTGTCTGCGGTTTTCTTCCGCATGGCTGCCAGCTGGGCCTCGTTAGCGATCTTCATCTCCTCGAAGTCCTGCCGGATCTTCACCAGCTCGGCCTCGCGCTTCTTGTTCAGCTCAACCTGGAGGGCAAGCAGTCCAGAGACTTTTAGGTACACGTACAGGTTAAGCTAATGGTCCAGACATGCACATGTACCTAAACAAGTTTGGCCAATTGTCTGTGAGTTATATTAAGTTATACATTCAATCATGTAGACAACTGTCTTTCTAGTGGTAAAGTGTTGTCTTTGTATAAGGGTTTACTTTATCTTAATCTATTATACAGTTTTTTTTTCCTATTCCAAGTGCTGAGGTCTTGAACTTGTCATCTTTGAGATACAATTTATGTACACAATCATGTATTTCTGCTGTAAATTTTTTTTTCAGGTGCAAGTACACCAGATGTTTCGGTCCTGACCTATACCATTGTTAAAATCTTTAACATCTTTTAAACAAATTATTATTAATAACATCTGATGATTTAATGACATTGGTAATACATGTACATCTAGTAGTACAGAATTGTTATGCACTTTGTGCCAGACCAAGAGTGTAGTACATGGCCTCACCTGTGCCACAGTCTGTCCGGTACTCTCCTCCAGACGGTCACCCAGGTCATCCAGCTCTCGCGAGATGTCGTTGCGAGACTTCTCCACCTGACAGCAGAAGAACGAGTAAAATTACTTTAAGTCAGATGCAAATTTCAAAGTGTACTGCTTTTCTGACCATACGTCAAATATAGTGACTTGCATTAAAAGTGGAAACAAGCTCCAACATTTTCAACAGTTAAAATAAAAGACAAAAATGGACTATGACCGAAAGTGTACCTTGGCCCTGGCATTCCTCTCGTTTTCAAGTTCCTCTTCCAGCTCTTCTGTGCGACCCTGAAAGAACAATCACAAGAATCACTAGCTGCATAAATTGTCTTGGTCTTATTCACGTAGCGTAAGTCAAATCTTTGTTACTTGGTTTTACCCTTAAGCTTCAACCCTCATCATTAATTTGTTGATTTTCTGGTCTTGTATTATCAAGAAAACTGACTACAAATAGAGAAAATAAGCCAACAAAAGAAGGTGCTACAGTAACTGTACTTACATGTATGTCAAAAGTGTTTCATGCTTTAACCTTTCAGAGATACCACCGTACCGTGAGCTCCTTGATCTTCTTCTGCAGCTGTGCGACCATGCTCAGCTCATCCTCCAGCCTGTTCTGCACGGCACTCAGCTCGAAGTCGCGCCTGTCAGAAACATCAATGCACAGCATTCAATACATTCTAGATACAATAAAGATATGGCCATGTGTTACCGTCATCGGGACTATCCAGAACCAGCGTACAAGAAACAGTCAAGGGGGAAGAAAGAACCAATAGATCTAGAAAAGAAGGGAGGATAATTTCAGAGAATTGACCCGCATGGCAAACGTAAGAAGAAAACCAAGAATGCTGGAGACAACTGGATACTCAGAAATAGATGAGATTTATACAGTGTAATGGTGTGAGCTAGATCAGAACCTAGTGGTGTGATATCGATGAAACTCACTTCCAGAAGACATTACAGAAATTACTGAACCTGCCAAGTTTAAGGAAAAGCAGTAATCCAGCACTTGCGGAAACAGAAATGATGCATCATACACACACACACACACACACACACACACACACACACACACACACACGCGCACACACACGCGCACACACTGAGCGTATTACTCCAACTAAGGGGGGTTGCTTAGTACCAAATCAAGATCAAGAAGAAGAAGAACTTACTTCTTGAGCTTCTCTTCATGCTCCACCTTGAGCCTCTCGAGCTCCCCTAAGCTGTCCAGACTCTGCTTCAGGTCAGCCTCCAGCTTCTTCTTCGCCCTCTCAGCATCCGAGCGGACCTTCTTCTCCGCGTCCAGCATGTCTTGGAGCTGCGGAGGAACCAGCGTTTGTTTAGGGCGTTTTTAATGAGTATGCTCAGTGCAAGGCCAAAAGAACACTGCTAGAGGGTAGGTTCTGTCTGATTTGTTTAAAGGAATTTGCTTAGCGTAAGACCAAAAGAACACTGCTAGGCACTGAACTATACATGTATACTGGAACAGCATCAGATTCTCTTCTTTATCAGAACTTAAAAAGAAATGATTTCTTTGCTCAAGACGAGCTCAACTCACTGAGTGTGCGGACTAACTGACCCAATAGTTTTGTTTATTTTAAGTTCTGTACAAAATAAAAATGCTAAGTTTGTATATTTCTTTCCAATATATCATCTTTGTTGACAAGATATGATTATAATAATCTTCATTTGACCTCTAAGATTTCCCGAGACTTGCCTCTTCTATCTGCTGCTCCAGCTTGACCTTGAGCTTGTTCAGGTGGTTCGTCTTGTCTTCCTCCGACTGAAGGTCATCCAGAGTTTGCTATAAAAGGGAAGTAAGAAGTCAGTTTCAAAATTTGCACATAGTGGATACGTTAACATTCATCCAACAGATTTAACTTCATGATACTGTGTGCATTAGTTAAGAAACTGTACAATATGTATACCAATTCTGACCAGTGATTCTAAAAGAAATGGAAATCTAAGTAAGAAACGAACAGCTATGCTGATCTATAAACCATCTGAACTTATGTTACAATTACATGTACTTAAATATAACAACTATATAAATTATTACAGTAACTGTGTACTCACAGCTTGGATTTCCTCGAGTTTCTTCTTCTCGCGGGTGAGGCGTTTGATGGTGTTGTCCATGTCGGCGATCTCTTCTCCCATCACTCGAACCTGTACATCAGTAGATGTCGATTAATCAAATGTCGTTTAAGTTCTACTTTGCAATTAAATTTAGGAAGGAATTGTATATGTAGTTAATGTACTGTAGAATCAGTAAAAATTAGAAAAAATGTGGATCGTTCTGAAGACATCCATTTGAAGCCAAGAAAGCCTGTTTGCTCATATTCAATTAATTTCAGAAAGGCACTGTAGTTAAAGTAAATATAGGATTGTAATTAAACAGTACAAAAATATGGATTTTTCTGAAAATGTCCATTTGAACCCAAGAAAGCTCATTTCCAGATTTACCTTGTCCTCCACCGCTCGCTTGTCCTTCTCCGACCGGGCGAGGTTCCTCTCCAGATCCTCAACATCCTTCTTCAGCTCACTCACCTGGGAAGTAAACATTCCAGTAATTCGAAGTTAAAGTTAAAAGTTCCTGCGTGTCAATTGCCCTGGGCTACACACATCAGTGCAATCACTACATTGTAGTGTTGTGTGTCCAACTCTGGGACCCATACTATTTAAATGCTGAGTGCTAAGCAGAGAAAGCAGTTATTCAAAAACCGTAAATCTAAATACAACAAAGTATGTACACAAGCGCACAATTCAGCCATCTGGCTGCAATATACTTCTTTGTTCAATAAACTGAAACTGAATAAAAATATCATCATCTTTATGCCTCCGGATTAATTATCCGATGAATCACACTTGATAAAGTTTCCCCAATACACCCTGTCCCTTATGGCAGACACTACAGCAGTCCCTGCAAGGCCAGTGTCTTTCTAGATCTCTAACATTGACAAAATACTAGACTGAATAAAAAACAAATAACTGAATAGTCTGCCTACCTCGTTCTCCAGCTTGCGGCGGGTGTGGTTGAGCTGCTGGTTGTTCTCTTCTGCCTCCTCCAGGTTCTCCTTGACCTCCTCCAGCTGCGCGTCCAGGTCAGCCTTGCTCTTGATCAGCATGGCGTTCCTCTCCTCAGAGTCAGCAACAACGTCTTGCTCCTGAAGATGCAGGTTTTTGTCTTCTTATTGTCAAATTTAACATAACGAAACATCTTTTCATAACAACGTATCCTCCGAGATGTGGGACATTAAACCAATTTTTTTTTGTGATGTGGGACATTACCATTACAAAAACATAGTGCAAAATGGAAGTTCTTAATTCGGGTTATTTTAGCTATTGCAAAAAGCGGTTATCTCTGTACATGTAGATCTTTCGTCCAGTCACTCTGGTCTTCCTCAGTAGACTGACTCAATGAGACTTGTCATGTCAACACTGGGTCAAAGGTATCTGGTAAACGATGTCAGCCCGCATGGGTCAATCTTTTTAAGAAGACCAGAGTGACTGGTCAAAAGCTCTAGATGAGAATCATGCAAAAGTTCTAACTTGAAGCATGTAACTACCAACACAGCTGTATTTTCGTGATAGTGTAAATCTAAATGGTGTGAACTCACGGCTTGAAGCTGGATGACGAGGTCGTTCTTCTCGTTGGTGAGGGAGTTGAGCTTCTGCTCCAGCTCCTTCCGCAGCTTCTCCTCCTTCTCAGCCTTCTCCACGATCAGCTCGAGCTCCTCCAGCTTCTTCTTCATCTCCTCCTCGGCACGGGCACCCTGCAGCAGGGGCTTGACCTGCGACGAAGAAATAAAATGAGTTTGTAGATTCATATATGTTTCTTTTGTCTTATAACTACTTTCTGCATATTTTGCCATGCAGAAAGTAGTAATATATTTGACTTTTTACTTGTATTATTTGTATGTTTTCAATGTGTTCTGTGTCCAGGGCCCCACTGCAATTAAAGCAGTGTTTAATTAATGAGTGGGCTACCCTGGCTAAAGAAAACAAAAATGATAAAAGATAATAATAGATAAAATGAGTTTCATGATTTTTTACGTAAATATGGGCATCCTAATGCATCACCATGATTGTACTTAATTGTCAAGTTGAAGAGGTAATTAATAGATAGAGCTGAGTTTTATTTGATTCCACAATGACTATGTCTCCAAGGTAAATATGGGTTCAGACTCAGTGAAACACCTGCAGATGTTCATCTACCTGTTGGTAAATACAAGTGCACCAGAATTATGTTAAGGTGTATTCACATTTGCAGACGTACATGTACCTTTGTGTACACAGGCGCATTCACACTTACCTTAGTGTACAGCTTCCACCACATCCAGTTGCGCAGACCGAGCCACTTGCGAATGTTACGCTGCAGGCAAAGCATGGCCTCCCTGAACACAACAACAAAGGCAGCTTTATCAACTCATCCAGTTAATTAGAACATATCTATGTTTCATACTGATATTATGAAATGCCACTGGGTTATACCATTCTAGAATGAGAGACATCAGTTTTCTCTGTCGAGTGTAAATCTTATTTAATTTTTTTTGTCGAGTCTAAATCTTACAAACTAAGAAACTAGTAAACACATGCTACACATGGGGTAATCTGCATAAAGTCAAAAATCATCAAAGCATTGCTTTACCAACTCATCCTGGGAATGTTAACTAGGAATAGTAGGATAATCATAGTTACATGTTTAATGTTTTGCACAGTTAGGGGTTATGCCATCTTTCATGTAAAATGATTGTTACTGGCCCTATTTCTGCTGAATTCTGCTACCATGAACCCTTAGTTAGGCTTGGCAGAGAACCTAGTCACTTTGTGTCCTTTCATTTGTATTCATTAGTATTTTTCCGAATTTAAAAAAAAAACAACATCTCAGCGTACCTCTGTTCCACCATGACGACAAACTTGGCCCGCATGTGCCTGCCCCGAGCGCGCGCCTGGATGTTCTTGATGATCTGGCCCAAACGGTCATCTCGAACATCTGCAGAGTTAGGGACAACATGGAGAAGTCATAATTACAACATGTACTTTTTTACCCATTTACCATTCATAACTAAATGTACGGTTA